CACGTGCCTATACAGCCCTAGGTGTTACTTTCTGTAGCAAGCTCATGGAAACTATCTACTGTTTGTTTTTTATTTTACGAAAATTAGACTTGTCACGTTTGTCTTTTTGTGAATTTTGCGCAAAGCTACACGAGGGGTTTCTGCGCTAACCGCCCCTAATTTAGCAATGGTAAAGGGAATGTATCGAGTCAACACCACCAACCTCCATCTCTTGGACTTACCAACAATAGCTGGAGTGACCGCAAACTTTATAACACCCCCACGGCTGAAAGGGCGAGAATATTCTTTGTGACGGGGATTTGACCCGCAGATTGTGAGTTGAGACCCTAACCACCAGGCCTCAAAAATGAAGATCTCAACATAAATGGGCAACTGATTAACATTAAAATGGATATGATCGTAAATCCCGCATGTTTTAAAAACAACCAACAGGGAGTCACCTGGCACGTAGAGGGCATCTTGTAATCAGTGATTATGGTGATTAGATTAACCAGTTTTAATAAAGCCTTGAAATGTTGTGTCGAATAATAAAAGCAAACCATATTTTAAAAAAAAGGATCCCAAGTCGTGAAAGAACGCAATAGCTGGTGCAGAATGAAATCCAACATACTATGTAATTGAAAAAAAAAATCCAAATTAGTTACCTGTTATAGATGAGAAACTATACACGTGTGTTTGGCGAACAAGTAAATGCAATAGCTTAAACAAACCTAAAACTCAACCTGTTGCGACAGTAGTAAGAAACTAGGAATAGTGAAAAGATCCATTGTCATGACTGAAAAACAAAAACAATTTTAAAATTGGTGGCGCCCTTTTTTATCCCATGATGTTGTTAATATTAAATATCTTTCCTGTGTCAGAATTTTTTGTTTCTTATAAAACTACACAATGTGCTGTCTGTGCTCTACTCTCTACAGTATGGAAACCCGATTTTTAACGTTATATGCACAATGACTTACCGGTGAAACACCGGAGAGCTCGAGAGTTTTAAATTAGGAAAAATTGACGAAATGGGGCATCACTGTAAATTAATTTCTTAAGCTATTTTAACTGATCCATTACGAAGTTTGAATATCTGAAAAACAGCATTCATATTGACGCTTTGACTACCATAATCATTATGTTTACCTATAAACATTTTACAGTTGTATTTGTATCTCACTCACAGTAATGACCAAGAAAAAATCTAGCGTGTCAATTATCTTGAAAACTTATAGAAAAAATGTTTTAAGTTATGCTTATATCATAATCTTTAAAACACAACCAGCTTTGGCATTTATTTTTGGGACATCATGGTTATTTTTACATCTGCAATTAAGTATATTTCAATGGTTTTTGTTAGGCTTAAAAAGTCAATTTTATTGCCATCTTAATAGTTGAACACCACTGCATTATCTTCTATAGTGAAGAGTCATTTCATATATATTCTTCTGACTGCCATACGTCCAGTTCAGATAACGAGTTACGTCCTGGGCGGGGATTTGTAGCGGAATAGCTCTGAAACGCTGTTTTTAAGACACCTCTGACTTGTAGTCTGTAACAGACTATTAGAAACGTTTACTAGAAAATAAAAATGCATTAAAATGTGATTAATTAGAAAAAGAAACAAACACACTAGGCCTGTGAAGCCATATTTAAACCCAGCTTTCTCTAAAAATTATCTATTAGAATCAATGAGGAATTACACAACTTCTTAGCAGTAATAAATGTAATACAATTGTTACGACAGCGGAAGTCACGTGACGGTGGGAGCATGCGTGACTGAGTTTCTCGAATTATCGGGGAAGCTCGAGAGACGCCTCATTGTTGGTATACAAGCCTGGCAAGAAAAGCCAGCGGGATTGAATGTATGATAAAGCGAATAGTAGTCACGGTGAGTTTCGATTCTGTTTCGAGTAGTGTGTGTTTTGCACTCGTAGAGAGCAAAGTTATCGAGATTGTGAATAGCTGTGATTTATAGCGTATATTATAAATGTTGTTAAGTTTAAAGTGACGAGAAACGTAATGACTGTGGAATTACTGTGTAGTAAAAGTTTGTATCAAGAAAGAATAAACTGGTTTAATCAAGAAGGGACTTGTATCACTGAAGTTCCTCGGAAAGGTTTTATACCGGAAATTAACAAACAAGCAAATATGCAACACTATTTTGTGTACTAGCTTCTGAATGACTGTTTGTTTTCGAATATTTCCGTAAAGCTAATTAAGGGCTACCTGTCCTTAAATTTGAACTAATAAACTAGAAGGAAGGCATCTAGTCAACATATCCGCCACTAGCTCGTGTCCGACCGAACAGTAGGGTTTAACGGTTTCCCTTATAACGAACCCACGGTCCCAAGACAGGTATATCTACGCTCGGCTCAATTCTATAAAAAGTTTATAGAAAAACGTGTTTTGGAGTAAGATAGGTTTTATTCATTGGTAACAATCTTTTTAAATTCGATTTCTTTTTGTTTAACCTTGATGGTGTCAAGAATTCCGCAGCTCCATCTATTTATTTGGTAACACGCAGACGGCGATTTATAAGAACACCTCCAAGTACTATGAAGTATTCGTGGAATACAAATACTAAGTATATTAAATATGTGAAAGTTTTCAAAAAGTACACCTTTATTTTATAACGTATAGCGGATCAAAAATGTTATAAGAAAGCAATACCAGATAGTAAAAATACAAGTTTGAAACATAGTGGGAGTAAGCTAAAAGCAACATTCTAGTCGTGACCCCGATGGCAAGAATTCACAGCTCGCGTCAGACCGGCGTGGGATCCGAGAAAACTCCAATAGTTAAATAAAAGCACGTTGAAATGAACCCATGCTACAAATAAAAAAAAAGCAGAAAAAAAAGCAGTTAGTGGAACTGTGATGAAAGACAAGAGTGAGATACTGGTAGTGAAGAATCCAGCGTTATACAGTTTGTCTCTATACGCCCTAAATTATTTGTTTTAGATGACTTCACCAAAGATATTTGATTTAGATAAGGGACAGAAATAAGTTCTGTAAAGACCAATAACAAAGTGGATATTGGCTACAGTCTGGTGGAATAGCCCACTTGTACCAATTGAGTAAAAAGAACTACCTTTAAAAGTAGATCTGCTAAACTTCTTGGACAATCGGAAAAACCCAAAAACTTGTGTGTGTAATTCCGTGTTTCCGACTCTAAACGGCACTTCTTCGACTTCATAAACTTCTCCGCACTTATCGTACTCCAGAAAAAGATGGCAGTAATCCAAAATCTACAAGAAGTTCGCCTTGTAAGTATGCTATTTCTGATCTAGTCTAACAGTGTATCACTTAAGGTTCAATAATGTATAAAGTTTGGTTTGTTTTTATTTTCGCGCAAAGCTACACGAGGGCTATCTGAGCTAGCCGTCCCTAATATAGCAGTGTAAGACTAGAGGGAAGGCAGCTAGTCATCACCACCCACCGCCAACTCTTGGGCTACTCTGTTACCAACGAATAGTGGGATTAACCGTCACTTTATAACGCCCCCACAGCTGAAAGGACGAGCATGTTTGGTGTGACGGGGATTCGAACCCGCGACCCGCAGATTGCGAATCGAGCGCCCTAACCGCATGGCCATACCGGGCCAAGGAAAAATAATCTTTAATAGCAACATTGTTGGAAGTGAGTGAATTTAGAATATGAGCGAAGAATTTAGCCGATTTGTAAGTATGGGAACTGATGCTGGATACAGAAGGAAGGACAATAGGTAACCTGTGGATATATAAGGAAGGACAATAGGTAACCTGTGGATATATAAGGAAGGACATTAGGTAACCTGTGGATATAGAAAGAAGGACAAAAGGAAACCTGTGCATATAGAAGGAAGGACATTAGGTGACCAGCAGATATAAAAGGAAGGACAATAGGTAACCCATACATGACACCATGGTGGGAGCCTGAGGGGTAAACGTCTTCAGAAACATTTTCTGAAATGGAGTTGAAATTTTTGTAATTTCTTAAGGTTTGTTGTATTTTTTCTTCACGTTTTACGGTGAGCTTTAACCAATCAACATTAAGAGCTTTGAATTTTGTAATTAGGTTTATTAAGTATAACAACACCTGTACCTTTATCAGGACGGGTGACGATGATATTTTTTTATTAGCCAATTCCTTTAGGGCAATATATTCGTCGTAAGTAATGGTGGAAGCAGATTTATGGGAGTTGTAGTTGTAAAATAAAGACAAACAGGCGTTTTTAATCTTGTTTTTACAAAGTTCTCTAGGTTCTGGGAACCATACCTGTTAAAAATAGAATGAGATTTCACAATTTTTATAAGTGCTCTCAAAGGAGAACAGGTAATCAGAGAATTTAAGTTTAGGGGAGGTAAACAAAACTTTAGGCCTTTGACTAGGACACCGAGTACATCATCACTAAAATTAAAAATCACCTTGTTATTATTAATACTGTTGTTTTTTTTTATGTGGAACTAATTTATTCAGCTTAGTTCTGCTTGTGTTCCAGATGGGTTTCAGTTTTTGTGTTAATATTGTAAATCAGGGTAGGTGGTTGTAGTCGATCCATGATACGTCATTTCTTCACTGATTCGTGTACAGTGCTAGACTGTTTCTTCTGTTTAAATTTTTTCCAAAAGACGACATTGTCATGAGAAATGTAGCTAATAATTTATTATGTTCCATATAGCTTGCTGAAGACGGAATATATATATGTTTGTTACTGTATATACACACGCGTGTAAAATGTCGTTCTACTGTACAAGTTAAATTCTTATGGAGCTATTAAGTGTATGAACTTCTAAGCTGGTTCAAACTCTGCCTTTAATATATTCAGATAATTTTACTGTTATAGTACCTTCTATTAAATGATAGCAATCAACAAAAAAAGTTAATGTATAACCTGAATTGTAATTAGCATATAGTAAAACGAAGTATGTATGATTATATAAAGAGATTTAATTTTGTATTAACGTTTAAACATTGAAATTTGTGACTATGTAACTTGAAACTTAAATTATAAACGAAATCAATTCTGTGCATAACTTTATCTGATTTCTTAGTAAATTTATTCAACATCCTTTAATTAGAAGAAAACCAACTTCATATACAGTCAAATCCGTGTTTATACTGGTTTACAGTGAGAAGACAAAACAAAGTACATTCTGTTAACAAAAATCAGCCAAAACACAATACGAAAAGCTCGTTAAGTACGAATAATATATAAGCCTATCAAAAATTTACACATAAAACCATAAGCTCTATAGCCGATACAAGTTATTTTTTCTAATCAACACTATATCTGCAACGAAGATACATACAGAAAAATGTGAACTGTGAAAAAACGTAACCACCATTTGTATCTCCAAGACTTACTTTTTTTACAGGTCTAGTCCTAACTATAAGTTCGAAAGTAAGTTACGATGCATTGTTTTATTAAATTTAATCACGTTATAAAACATCACCTATTCCAAAAAAGTTACCTTTAAAAGTGTGCAACAGCACTTTCGGATATCACACCCACAACCCATACATAATTTGTTTTCAAATAGTGAAACCTTACCTGTAAATTTTTAAATTCGTGACATGTGCATTCTGATATAACGTTAACACATTAACAAAACTTCACGTAAAGTTACAGAACAATAGTTAAAATATCTGTCTGTCATGGTAAATCACTAAGCACTCTCATTTTGCATCATTCATTGCTGTTTATGAAAATACTGCCTATTAAACAAATAAAAGTTTTACCATTTAACAACATCCAAATTCAAAACCTATCTACCTCTAACTTGTTGCAAATTTAGACAACGTCCGATATAGTTGTTTCAGTTCTGTGAGTCTATGTAATAAATAGCAATACAGACAGTAACCAAACCATTTACACAAGCCTAAGAAATACCCAGTAAACAATTTTATCAAATTCAGAGGGGTAGCCAAAAGTACAACATTAAGTAAACCTAGAGACAATCAACATCTCTCATTATCTTTTATCTTGTTGCTGTAAAATACAGCAATGAATTTGTAACTTTTACGTTGCTGTGAAAACAAAATAAATGTTTAAACCAATTACTAAAAAAAAAAAAACAGAAAAAAAATATGGTAACTGGGAATTAACAAGGTTTACAGATAAAACCAATTACCCTGAATTACAAGAAACGAACCTAGTAGAGCATTATCACAAGTTAATACGTATTAGACCAAATACACCAATCAGAAATACTCGACAGACGGAACTTACATACACTCCACTGAAACCAAAAACCCTTTTCTATAATTGTAGAATATGAGCCTAAACAATTTACACACACACATAGCTATACACATTTGATCTCCTAAATGCATATTTTCAAAATCCAAACAGAAAATAATGAGCCACACAGATTAAATTCAAAATACATTTGCATAAACAGAACTCAATTTTGTACTATAGTTTCTTCTAAAGCAGGGAAAAAAAAAGTTTTGTTCTGTTAAACCTCCAAGTCCAGTTTTATAGAAGTAATTAGATGAGTTATTGTTAAAAATCAATTTTTAGTCTCAAATCATCCACGGGTAATTCTTACAAATTTGAATGAAATTTTGTTAAAATAAATATATATACTAATATTAACATTAATATCCTTCCATTCCCAAAAAATAATTAAAACAAAACCCATTTAACTCCAAATTCTACATAAAGCGATCTGTATTGAATAATATACCAACTGATTTCATTAGTATTGTTGCTTGTTCACATTAAACATTAACAGTAGCTATAATACAGTGAAAATGGCATTATCTTACTTTGCAAATGTAAATTTTATATTCCAAAATACATAAGGAGATAACTAATATATGCATGTCAGTGGTCACATATTAGTACTAGCTTTCTGAACAATATAGCAGTATTGTGCATAGTTAAGGTTAACTACAAACATTTATTTTATGGGATATATATATTTTGTTTCTCAATTGATATTTGTTTTGTTTTAGCACAAAGCCACACCAACAGGCTAGCTGTACTTTGTCCAGTGTCGGAACTCAAGTCCTGGATTTTAGCATTGTAAGTTCGCAAGTGTACTGATGAACTACTAGATAACATCAATTTATGTGGATTTACATACTCAAACTATTTCTAACCAAGCATTTGAACAAACTAGTTAATACTTATACCTTATGTGGAAACACAACATTGTTTTTGTTAATTCTTGAGATAATGTTAACATAATGGCAAGCAATGTAAATATCTGTACATTCTAGCCATGAACATCAGCTGCTGGAATACATTTATTTTTTACTCTGGAAAAACCCAAAAGAAGAGTAAAACACAAAAAATATCTAGATAGTATATCACATGCTACAATAATATAAACCTTATAATTTTTTAACAGAATTTTATGAAGCCGTAATTAGAAGCGTTTTTTTTTCTTTTGTAGTATTTGGTTTAAAAAAAATACAGAGTACAAGTCTTATATATGTTTAATATTATTCACTGTTTATAGAATCAAAAAATAAGTCATGTTCATAACTTCAAAATATACTGATTATCAAAATGAAAGCTTGGGAACAATTTTCTGAGTATGCACTGTGTTTATATTTAATAATAAATGATTATGTTTTAATACCTATTCTTTACACCACTTATAAAGATTCTGAAACCAACCCAATTTGTTATACTCTAATGAAATAATTCAGAAGTTACAACAATAGAAATCCTGTGTCTGAAAACACTATATACATCAATTTTGAAAAATAAACCAGTGCAGTAAATCAGATTCTTTTTAAATACCATACATATTTGCAATCTCTTACAAGTTTCAGGGTGAAAAATAATAAAAGTGAAGTACAAAAGTGACAGAAAATAAAGATGGTTAAATTGTTGTAATAACGTGAGAGAAGTTCGATACTGAACAAAGTTTTTTCTGTGTTGTTAGTAAGTTGTAGTCAGAATCCAAAATGTTATATACCAAAGTCCCTTCTGTAGCTAAGTCAGTTTTAAAGGTATGAAGCATAGCTATATTGTGTTAATATTATTGGTCCACTGAAATTAATGGCTTTCCTTTTAATAAACCCAATCAATTTAAAAACAACATCCTTTTTGACTTTAACTCATTAAGTTGCTTTACCAAAGGCTCGACAAAGTCACAAGTATGCTTCAAGTATTTCTTTAATAAAATTTTAGTGAAAAATAGAGCAAAATACTTTCAGGTGATATTCTATAATCTATAATGAAAGACATACTAGAAGTTAGAAAAACTAACACTTAATTCTCATCTGTAGGGATCAATAACCAATTCAATTCCAACAATGAGGCCAACTTCATTACATACTTGCACTGGTTAATAATTTCTCTACACTGGTACTGAGATAGAAAGCTGACATATTTCAATTTCAGCTGCCACTGTTTAAAAGTGCACTGAATAACAAAAATGTCAATTTTCAAGTGATCATTTTACTATACATTTGATCTAATACACTTAACCTAACAGGCTGGAAGATATAGCTTTCAACAATAAGAACAAAATAACATTCCAAAGTTTTATAAATCTGAGCCACAACAGCTAAATACTTATCAGAAACTATAAGAATGATCAGATTCTTTTGGAGAATCCAAAAATTGACTTAAAAAGATAGAAATAATTTAAGCAAGACATCTCACCATTTTTTTTCATCTTTTAGCTGTTATCTAATATAATGATTTTTTTTAGTTTCTTGATTCGAAAGTTAATGTTCAACTAGCAATCTATTTCAATTACTTTAAATAATGAAATATGTTTGCATTTTAAAACAAAAGTAAAATGTTTCAAAATGAATATTTTTTGTCTTTCAAGAACAAGACTATTGCATATCATTTCACTGTAATTATTAACAGCTTTCCTTCAGATTTTAAGTGTTAGAATGTTCTATACACTATCCTTTTTCAAGATTATTCTTAGGTTCTGTTTTTGTAGTATTCTAAACTGAGGGAAAAATACTTTGTCCTAAAATATCAGTCATTCATTCCCACAGCACATTATAAAGACGTACATAGACTTACACAAAACAAATGTATCAAATCAAAAGATCAACAATTTTGCAAAATGTGTGATTTTGCTTATATGGTATTTACATGAAAAGTCAATCTTTCACAAACACACATATTATTTCATGTTTTAATGGGCAGCTGTATTGCCAGTAATTTTTATTTCGAAATAAAAACAGAAAAAAAACAACAGGATAGTTATTATGTAAGTTAAAATAAGGTATTAATATTGAAAATTAAAAACAAGAGGTGCAAATTTTCAATGATCCCTTATATTATCAACAATTCTATATACAAATTACTCATCAATTTGTATAAACTTTGTGTATAACTATTCACAGATTATGTTTTAAGTACAAGTAATATTTTTCTATACAAGCATTAGTTTCTACAATCAGATTAAATAAGTCATTGGTTGTTTAAGCATATGTGAAGCATATTTACAGCAAGACATTCTGATCTGTACAATTATCAAGAAGTTAAACTCCCTGTTCCTTGGAAAGTTATTCTAAGCTAAACTTAATACTAACTATACATATCAAACACACTTGTCTAGAACAGCATAAAAATCACTTCCAATTAATTTCATGGCCCCAATCCAACCTTCTACAAGATATTCAAAATCCACTCTAACATTACTTCAAGATACTTATTAATTTGTATATGAAACCTCTCCTCTCTTAAAAGCTAGAATTATTGACAACACACAGGATCCATTCATACTGAAACCACATTAATATCACTGTCCATGATGAGATAGGGGGGAAGAGGTATGGCTCTGAGAAGCTGAAAGAGGTCTCTCTGAAAGAAAAAAAAACATTTTCTAAACAAAAAGTGTAATTATTAAAAAAAAAAGGGGGAAAAATATATTTTATTTTCTCCGATGGTCAAACTATTTCTACTAACATTATCCTGTTCTGGCTGTTTTGGGGAAAATGGTCAAATCCAGCAATGTGAGAAAATTAAGTGAAGGATGACAAGACTTCAAAAAACATGGCAGAATGAGTATTTGTTTTCTTTAAAAGTTTCTTTGGATGGCATCTTTTCATAATTGTTATTTCATGAAATCTTTGAGCAAATTTTAGTGTTTTAACAAACATTATCCCTATACAATAAAATAATATCCTACTGTATGCTAAGATGTGTAAGTGATGGAATAATATACATACAAACAACACATTAACTGAAGATCTATATCTCATTTGGGCACTACCTTTGTACATCCTGAGAAAGGGTTGAGGTGAGGAACGAGGGGACAGGTTTTCCCCAGTTGAAAAGCTGAGAGGCCTGGTACGATAAGCAGAGTTGGAGCTACTGCCTGCTCCATGAGAGTCTAGCAAAGCTGCTGCTAGGTTAGTGTGGACAGACAGGTTAGCATTCCCACTGTGAACAACAGTACCTGCACAGGCAAGGATAAATACCAGAAGTTTTGGGTTAGTGAGAGAGAAATAGTATTCTGGAAAAATGACTGTAGTAGAAACAGAAATACATAATGAATACTTTAATAGTTCCCCAAGATTATGTCAACTGATAAAGTATCAAACATCAGTTAGTTTTGGAGGTTAAATGTATAATTATAAACATGCAAACTGCAGGGTATGTGTTGTCTATGCTTAAAATATTCTTAGAATGTATTCTTTCTAACAATATTTTTTAAACTTCAATGACTCAAAACAATTTAAAATATCATAGATGCTATGCTTAATATCCTGTCATTGCAAATATGAATGGTAATTAAACTTCTTATAAGTTAATAAATTAGTTTTTTAAAACACATTTTTCCCTCTTCAAGTCAGGTGACAGCCACTAACATCAACCAAGCTAAGACCAAATACTGTTTAATTCTCAGCTCTTTGTGATACAAGATACAATGGTACAACATACAACAAATATCCCATATATACTGTGATATCTAAGCTACCCACTAGAGACTTCTTTAAAACAATTACAAATTAAAGATTGCTGGCAACAGTTTTTAATTTTAATAAAAATGTTCTGTGATTTGCAATAAACAGGGGTCAAGACAGATTTCCAAAACACAGAAGTCACTTCTCCATTCAGGTGCCAAAAGGGAAAAGTTTTTAAAAATAGAGACTTTACATTTTTTGTATAAAACACATTCACAATGTGAAAACCCCATTTAATAATGGAAATGTTCTTTATTTAGGGATTAATTATTTCAATTCTGTGTGTGTGTGTGTGTGTGTGTGTGTGTGTGTGTGTGTGTGTGTACACATCATGTTTGAAGCATTAAATAAGTCATACTTTTTTAAATTTTAAAACTTTTACTTCAGAATTTAAGAAAACCGTTTTATTTATTTTTTGTTATTTGAATCAATAAACAATTTGTATTCATTCAAAATAGTATAAAACTATTTTCTAAGTTCATTGCATATTTCATTCTTTTTACTTTTATTTGTTTAACTTACATTTTGAATGCTTGCCATGATTTGTAGTTTTAGCAGGATTTTTTTGCCCACACATTTCTCATTGCTTCTTTCTACATCTGTAGAAATTGAGCAGGACCAATATCTGAATTCATTTCAACTCAAAACTCTGTAAAACCTTTTTAGTTTTTATTCTTTAACTTTTTATTGGGCCTTTCATTTCTGGGCAGGATTTGACTTAAGACTTTGCTACAGGTTTTATGCTTAAAAAATATGCTAGACATTCTGAGCAAATGAAAATACCATTGTGGGTAACAATATATATGTTTGAGTTGACTGCATGTTAAATTGCAATTATATTTGTAAATTAACAAGTAGAGATAATTTAAAATGATACCACTTTATGGTACATACCTTGCATAATTAATAATTACCTCCAGTGACAAAAAATGTAGTCAAATAATACATCAATCCATGTATTGAAAAAGACACGACATCTTTCCCAATCATTAATAACACCCTTCTGTAATCCATATTAATACAATGCACAGTCAACACTCTTTGTTTTGACACAAACTTTCAAGAACAACCAATGCATATAATTGGCACTGACACACTCTTAGTAGGGAAATTTGATCAAGCATGGTGATTGGCTTATGTCAACATTATGCATTCTGAATTAGACAAATATGGATATTGCATGTAGTGTCTCAGTAATTTAAGTAGCATATGTGATGATGTTGCCTTTGACAGTGTGAGTAACTGACTGAGTTGTAAAATAAAGGTAACTCAAACTTTGCTGGGGTGGGGGACAAAAAGTGACATAATACATTTGAAGATGTAGTTTAAAGGCACTTTGACCAATCATATGATGTTTGTATAAAAATACAGAACACTATAATTGTTCTCAAATGCACAGCACATACTTTAATTTGTAATAAAATAAGAAAACAAATTTATACTGGTGAAAATTTACAAATATGTTTTGAAAACAAAACATTAAAGTAAACCTCACAAGCAATATGCTGCTTAAGCTCCCTATCAAATTCAAGGTGTTAACGAATAATTATTAAATAAGAAATTATTGACTGCTAACTTTTCAAAAATATGTATGGAATTACATTGAACTGTGCGTGGTAGTAGCTTAGTAATGTGCTATAGATGAACACAATTTTAACCACCACACCTGACAAAATAAACCTGTTTTTGTCTTCTTTCCATTAGAATGCAATTAGTGGTTAATTCTCATAAACTCTGACATTATTGACCAACATACAGTTATTTGTCAATGAATCACAGATTCTGAAAAATAATCACAATATTTTGATAGCTTGTTATAAATAAAATATCTTTACATGAAACTGTTACCTGTATTTCTAGGAGGCTGTATTTGTCTAGGAGGAGCTGGAGAGTACGTTGCAGCAGCAAAGTATTCAAAAGTAGATAATTCCTTGTGGTTCTGAACAACTGTTTCTAAAGATCTAGCTCTTTCTTCATAACTACACAGGAACGTTAAGAAGCAAACCAGTATAAACAATAAGAAATGTCTGCTTATCTGTCACAGAGAAATGAAAATCTCCATTTAACACTAGAAACTAAAATAATGATAACAGGAAAAATTGTTATAGTCATAGTTTGTAAGCTATTAGATGTCTACAGTATCCTGTAACTATTGAACGGAAAGATGAAAATAACACCTATACAGTACTAATGTACTTTCAATAGCTTGTGTAAAGTACTACTGTTATTTACATGAAAATTCACTTATTTTAATGCAGAAATGTTTAACTTTAGCAAAACAATATCTATTCATACATACAAAAATTTGTTGCACCTGAATGACAAATATTAAATTTAAAGAAATAACTTTACTGCTCTTTGTAAATGGTCATAATTTTGGATTCTGTTAGATTAACAACAGATTTAAATTGACTTGACTAGTGAAATTATTTTCAAGATATGTAAAAAGTAGGCACTGTTTTATTTCAATATGTTATACATAAAATATACCAAACATAATCAAAGAACCTCCAAAAGAACATTGGATTCAACAAATCAGGTTATTCAATTTAAACCACAGAAGCCTTCATTAAAATGTTACAAAAAACAGGTTATCTATACTTAATTTCCACCATTATGAAAGGATACAAGTTTTGGTATAAAGGAATGAGGGACCGTTTTGAACGACTGGCATTGATGGCTGTTGACCTCACCAAGCCTGGTAATACCTTATGGTCAATTATAGCACCACTGTAAAGTGGTCCAAAGTGTGGCACCTGAAAAAAAAAAGATAAAAAAAAGTGCAATACAATTATATCAACAAAAAAAATGTATTGGTACATATAAAAGTTTTCTGTTACTTTAACTTTCACATATGATACAAAGTACCAACATACTTAAAATCTCTAAACTATAATGCCAGAATTATTATTTTAAATTGTGTAGTAGCTACTAAGTGTTCTAGAGTTGATTTCTCGTTAGTACTTTTCAGTCTAAAAGCTATACTATTATACAGTTCTCTTACATATAGGCCAAATTATTAATTTATTGAGTAATGAAAATATAGAAAAAGTAAGCATTTCCAAAACATGCCAAATATTTACTTTGTTCATTAATAGAGGACTGGATCCCCCACCCCTTTGGCATGGAGCACAGCCTACACCCTTCGACAAACACCTACAACTTTTCTCTACTGTACATAATGCATAATAATCCGCCCTTCAACCTTCAAAGCAGTATTCAAGCTCCTACAGATTCTGTAGTTTTTATGCTTCAAGCCTAAAGTGGCATATCAGGACAATTTAACAGCCACTTAATACCAATACATGCACAGCATCATCGGTAATGTTCTGCTGGATCACAGAAGGACTAGTTCCATAAAAATTTATGAAGGCTAGCAGTGTCATGTTGTTTAGGTATACCTCATGAGTTAAAAGTACCCTTGTTGAGAAATACTACCAAGCCAATACCAGCATAAACACACTGAAATCATAAAACAGCCACCAGATCCCTCCACAGTCAGTACTAAACAATCACTCTTACAGGCATACTGTGATTCATCACTCCACAATATTAATTTTCACACATACATCAAAGATCAAAGTTCAATGCAAAAAGTTGGCTACCACTTTTTGTTAGTCAAAGTTATCAACAGCAGTTTCCTACACACAATTTTTGTGTAGACCACAATATCAGCTAAATTTACAAAACCCCTGGACAATTGTCATGATGTTGCCACTTGTGTTTCTCTTGACCACACCCTCTGTAGTATTCTTCTAGTTTTCAGAGTCAATCCCATTGAAAAGATTACTATCCAGGCCTGTATGCAGAACATTTGAAAGAGTTCTAATTTGCGAGATCAAAAGCCAACACATACTGTACGAAACACGATGTTATCGGGATCCAGGGGCATGCGACTATTTCAAGCCAAAAAATGCTATTGCTTCATCAGAAGAATGTAAACTATGTAGAAAACGTTAAATAATGTAAGTAGCTGCACTATAAATACATAAGCATAATTGTTTTACATCACAAAACTATGGGATTCAGCCAAACCCCTAAATGCTGAAATTACATCTCATCTAAGTTATTCCTAAGTTTTTGAAAATGAAACATCTACATTAAACAACCATCATTTCTCAATCTTCTAGTGGTTTAGAACACTGACACGTGTTAACATCAAAAATATGAAGTAATTTCATCAATAAATGTTCACATCTGCACTGTGAGAAGAGCACAAATGCAATAAACAGAAAAGTGATTCAGATCAGAATATCTGGTAATATTACCCTTTGGAATGCATGCATTATATATGCAGAAGTAACAGCATCCTTATGAACTTTATAAACAACTTCCATGTAGAAACCTTTAATCAATTGTTATACTTTTGACTGAATTCTACCACATCCAATAAGAAAAGAAAAAATTTGACAATTAATAATGCAAACTATTGGAATAATGTAGCCCTTTTCATAATTATATTTCACTAAAATCTTACCTAATTAATCTCAAAGGCTCACATTCTTAGTTAAATGTCTGAAAGCACAAACATAAGATTTTCAGCATACCTCTGGTTTACGGGAGATTTGTATCCTGTATAATTGGTTATGTAAAGGATAGATGACAATCAGAACATCACAAAATTCAGTAGCAATGATACCTCTTCGGTAATCCCTAGTGTGTTCTGACCACACAATATGGACTTCATCATTTCCAAGATGTCGCAGCTGTAAAAAACAGAGTAAGAACTATAACTGGTGGTTTTTTATTTCTTCAAGGCTTAAACCCATATTACAAAACCCCAGGACACATCTGGAATAAAATAAATTTGTTTAATAATTTAAACAAAATTGTAATACTAACAGCATACAAAAACTTTACAGAAAAATATGTGTAACACTGTTTAGATATAAGCATTTTAGCTATATGTAAAATCCTCATTATAATTTCATATTTGAGCTTCCAAAATAATCTGTTGATACTATTATGGATGTTTTTTTTATAAAAACGCTACTTTTAGAAGATTGAATACATCCACAAGCATTATTAATGAAATACTTTTTAACTAAAAATGATGGGAAAGTAAACACACAATTTAGATGCATTTTGCAATACAGTTAAACGAGAGGAAATCCTCAATAGCCACAGCACTTGAAGTTCTTTTAAGCAGGATTACAGTAAGTTAATCTAAAAGACCCTTATTTTCCTTTTTATTAGCTATATTTTAGTGTGTCAACAATATCAAGCATGGGGCACGCACACACCCAATTTGATTTTATTACTCATCAGGATCTCTACCAGCCTACCCTCAAATTGTAATTCTTTAAGGCATGATTAGAGTAAATCAATCTATGAGACCTTGGGCATGATCAAATACATCAATAGATAGGGTTTGACATCCAGAAACCAAAACTGTAATTAGATCTCAAATTCATCAAGAGATGATCGAGCTACAAGCTAAAAGTTTGTACTTGAAAAAAAAGCAAAACAAAAAACTCTTAACCATTCTGTGAGCTGCTATGCCACGGCTATAAATTATACAAGAATGAACTTAACAAATAACCTTACATTACAATACAGAATCAATTAGAACAATAGTTTTATCTTACAATTTCTACTTACATTTCAACTTAATTTTTTATTTCTCTTGAGTCAGTCAACAAATCTGATGTAAATATCTATAGAATAAATACTAAAAGAACTAAAAAGTGGTTCATGCTGTGGTAATTATATAACTTTGTACAAGAAAAAAGCAACATAGCTTTAAAGTGATATTTCACATTTAAGACAACTGACTTTTTTAATCATCTACAAATGTTCACAAAGAATAACAGAATAAAACTGTACCTTTTTAGTAATGGAATCTCCCTCTAAGGATGTACTCATGCGGGTGGAGACATGAAATATGACCTCCATGAAAGAGGTTGCATAATAAGGAGCTGTATCTCCAGTACTCTTGTTCTTCTGTAATCCTCCAGTAAATCCTGTATGAGTCTCTAGCTCTACCTGGTAGGTGAAAAACAAGTTTTTCTTACTCTTTTTTTTTTACTTGAATAGTATATTTACTATAATGAAATCAACTATACAATATTTCATTTCAATCTAGTGCCTGCACCAATTCGTATTAAATATCTTATTACTTAATATTTCAACTAGTATATTTTTTTAATAATCTACCTGTTATTATGTCCATCCATGTACGAATATGTGAATATACTCAGATCAAAAGTTCACATTTGGGAGAGTCAAATGATTTTTAAGTAAATCATAAAGTTACAAATAAATTTTACTGTAAATACTTACAAACTGTGGATAAATCATGGTAGTTACTAAGTTTTTGAGTTAGGCTTCAATGAAAATAAAAAATGAAGTGGGAATTACATAACCAAACTAGGTGCCTTAGGGACAACGACCTATATGTACACCATTCACAATATTAAACTGATATGTCATAATAAGCAGGCAAAAAAAAACAATTTATAAACATAATAGTTATTTATTTATGGTAGAACATCTTACATGTCTTGACAGAACATTGGTCTGTCTAATTCAAACAATATTATGCTTATAATTATATTAGTATAATGTACTTCCTCAATCAAGTAAACTGATATGTCAATTACAAAAGTGAGAGCTAACTGCATATCATAATTTCCAACAACATATTTGTACCTGTTCAAGTTACACCTTACAAAAAGTGCTAACTCAATGTTTCTAAACAATAAATGAATTATTCAGGTGATCAAGTTCTAGTAAGTGTAGAAAACCTATTTAGTTTCCAACAATCATGGATGTTTTTAGCTACATCAGAACTTGTAACAAATACCTAAGAAAAGTTTATAGATAAAACATAAATGCTTTCTGATCAATTCACAATCTATACTAGTGGCTAATCAGTTTTATTCAAAAAATGATGTATTTATCTGGTCAAGTCACAGTCTGTAAAAATGTACCAAAACAGTTTCTAGATAAAATCTGATGTTCTTACTGGCAAAGGTCATAGCCTATAACAAGCTGTTAAATAGTTCCTAAGAAAAGTGTGCTTTTATCTAATTGAGTAACTGTAGTTAATTAGTACTTTAACAGTAAAATTGAATGTTTATATCTAATTCAAGCATTGTAATCAGAACCTAAACATAGTTTCTGAACAAAGTAAAACAGGCTCTTATCTAATCACATCACAGCCTGTAGCAAGTTCCTATAAATTAATTTCCAGACATACCATGAAATCGTTTATCTTATTCAGTCATTAACTGTACACAAATAGTTGCTAGCTAAAACAAGAATACATTAATCTTACACTTTTTAAGATATTTTTAATGCACATCAAACAATAAATTTGTGTTGTACGTTTTCTGGGAAGCTTACAAGAATATTGGAAGATAAAGCAACAATCTATAAAGAGCACATAATGGTAAATACTTTTTAATGGTTTGGCATTTGATTTATTTTTTGTATCATTTGTTTTTTATGTTATGAAGTTTCTAAAATTTTGTTGAGAGATACTGTTTTGAACAATCATTAAGAATACAGTCAAACCTTATTAATAAAAACCCAGTTACAATGAAAAAAAAAAACACTTAAGACGAAAAATACAACAAAGTCCTTTTGTAATGCCATTGACACCATTGTAAATACACATCATTTAAAATGAAGTCACTTACCACAAAACACCGTTTAAATTTATTTTACAACACAAGCTGGAAAACTATAGATTAATTTTTTCACGTTGGCATGAGATGGTGTGAGACATAAGCATTTAAACTGTTAATACAACCAGCCAAACAGAAACTCCCCATTAGGAAGCTGTTGTTTCAACGACGGAAGTTTTGCAGGGTTAGCATGATTAGTTATTGCAAAAGTTAACATTTACCTAAACTGAAAATGTATTTCCAATAATACTTACCTCCGCTGACACTATAGCTATTTCTTGATCTCCAGGGTTTTCCCTCTTTGCCCATCTAAACACTGAAAACGCTTGCTACAGTCTTTTATACCCCACTTAAATGCCCTTGGTAAATTCTGATTTGCAAATTTCTCCACCAACTTCAATGTGCCCTCTATCTAGGTACTGTATATAAGTACCTCATTCAGATAATGTGATCACTTTTTTTGGGACATAAACCAGCTTTTAGTGGGGGAGATAGGGTGGAAGAATATCAGCGAAGGTAAGTATTATTGGAAATATATTTTCAGTTTAGGAAAATGTTAACTTCCAAAACATACTTACATCTGCTGACACTATAGCTAGAATCCCACACTGAGAAGGTGGAGGGACCAGTGCAGGTATGAACCATACAGAAAGCATCTTTATAGAACAGGAGTATACCAATATAAAGATGCAATATAAAGAGTGGGGGAAATGCACTACATCCAGAACAGGCATGTTCTTCACCAGGAACTCACTTCCTATATCAAAGGTGGAATAGAATACAAGTAATCGTAAGTAAAGGCCAGCCTCAACCAGATAGCCGAGGTTCCACAACTTCGGGTTGGAATAAGGGGTCGTGGTACCTATATACCATGTTGATGGCTAGAGCTATTGGACTGCAATATTATATATACTTTTAATTAGATCCCAACCCGTAGCCATAGAGTGATGCGTTTCGCTGTACCAGAACCACGATGAGAAAGTAAGCAACCCCAAAGTGGACAAACTTTCTCCTCCACCTGAAAAAGTCCAAAAGGCAAGCAACACCCCAGGCTGTGAATGACTGGATCGTATATGCCATATTCAACCAATAAAACAGAACTCAACTGGCCTGGAATTATGAACATTCATCCTCACTCACCAACCAGGTGGACAATTATGGAGAGTACGTGGAACCTGTGCTCAACCAAGGACAGGACCATATTGCATTTGGAGTTATGATTAGATAGTGGACCTCTGCCCATGAACAATACACAAAACTGACATTGGACTGGAATTAAGAGTAGGCTCCCATGGAGGCTGGTGCCACTCCTACTAACATCTGGGGAAAAACATCCAGGGACCCGAGCAGGAGGGCCCCCAACATTGCCCTCTTCTCAAAGATTGGAGGAACATACTTGAACATTCTGGAGCAAACTGACCCCAATTTATTCAACCTGAAGATTGGCTAGGATGGGCAGGATCCCCTTTAACTTTACTCATGATAGTCCATGAGTGGCAGTCCATGATGAAAAGTAATACCATCCAGTAAGTGTCTAGATGGTCTTATGGAACTCTCTATTTCGACAAAGCCTGCTGAAACCTGTAGTCATTATACCTTCCTGGGCAATACTTGCCACAGAGTGGGATCGAGTGAAAAATAAAGGGACTCTGGAAAATGAAAAGAGTATATGATTGAGGAAAATACTCACCTCTGGTTAAAAATCTAACAGATGTGGACAAAATAGCTACAGGGGGTAGTCGAAAGCCCTCAGAAGAGGAAACTGCCAGATTATGTAAGTAATAAGATAGGAAGGTATTAGGAGTAGTCCACATACCCGCCTCTACAATGTCTTCTAGAGGGTAATTCAACCAGGTGGCTAATGACAAAGCGACATGACGAATCTGGTGAAAAGTCACACGCAAAAGATTCCTCTCCCGTAATGATAATCCATTATAGGCAATGTGAATCAATTTACAAAGCCACCGTGTTAAGAGTAATGGGAGATCAGTCACGGGAAAGAGAAGTATTCCAATGAATGAACAATCAATTCCTAATACATCCAAATTAGTTAGTACGAGCCACATAACATTTGAGGGTCCTAATAGGACACAACAAATGATCAGAATCGGAATGGTTATAAAGGTGAGAAATGGCTGGCAAATCTTTCCCCTTCTGTAGCTGCCAGAGTCTTTGGAAGAAAAGACCTGTCGGGTTAAAGCAGAACAAATGTGGAATGATAAAGAGTCCGATGCACATGGATTGCAAACAGCTCTGACAAAGTCTACAAGCCAACAACAACAAAAAATACAATTTAAGAGAAAGGGGAAACAAAGAACATGAAGCTAAGGGCTCAAAGGGAGGATGAAACAATGCATGTAAAACAACTGTAAAATCCAATTTCAGTAACTGAAAAGGTCATTTGGGTCGAAGAATAAGAAAACATTTGAGTAGACCTGATAGTACTGAGGATTCAAAAAACTTTCTGATATTTAGAATACCAAAAAATAGTGGATAAGGATGCCTTATACAAAGCTACTGTAGACGAAGCAAGACTCCTCTCAAATACCCAAGTCAGAAAACGAGATATAGTAGATACTCTAGTAGGAAGCAGTGTTTAAATTCCTTTTAATACATCAGTGATGATAAGTATTCCATTTCCATTGATAAATAGCAGTGGTTGGCCTGTGGAGAGATATAGTTAAATACAGAGAAACCTTAGAAGTTAAACCCTTATGTCAGACAAAGGACCGCATTACTTCCAAGCATGAAGACTGAGTTTCCAAACACCTGAGTGGAGAATGTCAGATCGAGGTTTTCTCAACAGAGACTGCCAGTGTGGAAGAGGTAGAGGTGGACATTTTTGCAGATATCAAAGAAGTGGAAACCATGTTTGAGCTGGTCTATATGGTTCAACTAAGAGAACTCGATGGGGAACCTGGAACAATAGCCGATTGGGGGAAAAGTATACAGATGCAAACCTGTGCAGTCCTGACTGAATGCATCTACTGCCAATGCCTGAGAATGAGGTATTGGAGACTAAAACAACTGCAGTTGAGAATTTTAATGAGTTGTAAAAGCATCAATTATTGGATTCCTGAACTGAGAGCAAATCCACTGTAAGACCTTGTGATGTACCATCCATTCCATTGGAAGAATCTGGTTGGGTCGAGACAAGTGGTCTGCAACTAAATTCATCACTCCTGGAACATGACATGCTAAGAAACTGATATGATGAGAATGAGCCCAGTAGAGAATATCCAAGGTGTGAAAACAAAGGTCTTCTCAAAAATGTGTGCCTCCTTGATGAGAAATCTGAGAAACCACTGTGGTATTGTCAGAATGTATCATGACAACTTTTCCCCTCAAGAGAGA